GATCTGGACGGTGGCGGCGCGCGGTGACCGGATCCGGCCGGTGATGGCGTCTCGAGGCGGATCCAGTCGGTGGCGGCGCGCGGTGGCCAGATCCGGCGGGCGAGGACGGTTCGGCGCGGCGGCCTCCCTCTACCACGGCCACGACGCTGGGACCTCCACCACGGTCCCGAGACGCTAGGGCCCGACCGGCTACTCCTCTTCTCCCTCCCCGAGCGGCACGGATCTGCAGCCGTGGGAAGCCCGGATCCGTCGCCGGTGGGCTCGAGAATGGGCTCGACGGCGGGCTCCTGGTTTTTTTTGTTTTTAAAATGATTAACCGCAGCGGGCATCCTAACATGCCCGCCGTGGTAAAAGTATATTTACTGCGGCGGGCACGTTACACCGCCTGCCGCGGTAAATCGGTTAACCGCGGCGGGCAAGGTCGCCCGCCGCGGTTAAGCCACGATTTACCGTGGCCTCTAGGCCGCGGCGGACGGCTTTGCCCGCCACGGAAAACCAAAAACGTCCGCCTCCAGTAAATTTTGTGTAGTAGTGGCGGTTGTTTCCAGGAGAATCTAAAAGCAATTTAACTGCTGACAATCGCCGTATAATAGTGTTGGACTAGCGTGGCAATGGTCGGCTTAATACGGACACTGTTTAACTTATCCCGAGCCATCCATTCTCGCTGCCGATCAATCTGGACCGTCTGTTTGGCAACAAACCTAGAAGCGCCCTGCCCAATCCCAACTTCCCTCAGGTCCTGTCGATGCCTTGACGGTGGTTCGACCAACTAAAAAACTCCAATACGAAATCATTAGTTCTCCCCACTCGTTGTTGCTCCATCTTTATTTTCCCCACTCGTTGCTTCATCTTCATTTTGACCCGTCGTCTGTACTTGCCCTGCCTTGAGCACCTTGCATTGTCGTCATGGACAATGCCCATGAAGGTTAGATGGATTTGGTCACCCCCTATTTGCATTTGGTTCCAATTGGTTTTGGGTTCAGTATCAGTTTTGTTCATATTAGAAATTCTTCATTGCAACAGATGTCTTACTTCGGAAGAAGCCATTTCAATGCGAGCAACCTTGCATTTTGGCGGCTAGGGGTGGCACCAGGACCCCAGATGATGTTGTTTGCTACTTGGGGACGAAGCATTCACCCATACTGACTTTTTGATTGTTGAAGCCGCTGTTCGTCACCTTCTCGGACCACAAAATTTGATCAGAATCATTCAAGACCCTGTTTGTGGAGAGATTTTTGTGCTTTGCAGGACTTGACAGGAAGTATACATACTTTATAGATACAATGTGTCCATGGACGGAGATGCTATCATCTTCGCTACGGTTCACTACCTCTGGCTTTCGGGACTGCATCAACCAATTGAGTACCTTAGCAACTGCCTACCCATCCAACATTAAGTCTTAGAATTGGTGAAACTTTTATGTTAATAAAGTTTATATGTCTTGATGAAACCTCTAGATTAGAATGTATGAGTACTACATAATCTTTGAACTATTACTTCGGTTGAACTGTTAATTGAATCAGTTGGTCTTGATTATGGTCCACATGTACACCTATATGTAAGCACAGAGGATCCAAAACATGCCTTCTTCTACAGGCGGATAGTACTCTGAACCGACGCTGACACAACATTTTATCTTGGCGGGAGTGCGAGGGTTTTGAAGGATGTTTTGGTGTCTTGGTGAGAGGCAAAAGCATAAATAAAAGACCTAGGCCGACCTCTTCACTCAGAGTGTGCAACACTTTGATACCCTGACTGCTCCATGGCAGCATCTAGCTCCAACTCCTCCCAGTGGTTGGCACCATCCCAAGGCGTCATCGCGAGAAGAACACCGGCTTCCAGCGGAGGAGGCTACAACGGGAGGGGGCCGCCCATCCCATGCCATATCGAGAACCAACCCTATGCATACCAGCCACCACTTTTTGTGTCGCTGCGGCTTGAAGATGCCACGGTGGATTTCATGGAGTGATGGAAACCTAGGACGTCGGTACCACAGATGTTGCAGACCAAATAATGTAACTCGATTTCTTTCTCGTTCATTATGTTTTCGCAATGCAAATGGTGAAATTCCACTGTACTTATGGTAATTTGGTTTTTCGTAGCCTGACTTAGATTGCGGGTTCTTTAAGTGGCACGATCCCCCAAATGAAAAATTTCTGAGGACTTTGATTTTAGATTTATGTAACAAGATTGGGAGCTGAAGGTGGAGGCCAATGTTACAACAAATGAAGAACATCTACTGGAGGAGAAAGAGATTATGCCACAGATTGAAGAAATAACTAGGGTTCCAACAAAGATGATGAAAGATTTCGTACCTACACTGCTGGACGTAGGGCTTAAAATTTGGGTGCTCCTTAATACGAAGAACACCATTGTTGTAACCACCGATTTGGGTGCTCCTTAACACGAAGAACACTACACTGCTGGACGTAGGGCTTAAAATTGAAGCTCGAACCAGGATAGATCGCCGTGTCTCTCTTGTGTTTTTAAGTGCCCGAGCCACCGGAGACCTACACATCGACTTCCAATGAACAACCACGATGCTCGCCGTGGTTACGAACCCGCGACAGTGGTGAAAATGGTTATCATCTTTGGTTTGTATTATGATCCAATGGTGAAAATCATTTTCATCAATGGTTTATATTACAAACCGATGGTAAAAATCAATTTTACCAACGGCACTATTCAAACCGGCGGTGAAAATGCTCTTGGTGAAAACGATTTCTTTTGTAGTGATATCATCCCGCATTTTGTTTGTGCATCAATGATGTGTTGATGGATGTGCAACATTCAAGCTAGCTACTTGCATCCGTGCTTGCCCTCTTAAAGAGAAACAATATGCTTTTCTAGGAAGGCTATATATCACTACCGGAAACTAAAATTTCCCTATCGGTGCAAAACTGATAGGAAAATACAAAAACCAACAGAAAAATTAGAAAAATAATTTTCCTATCGGTATACTGATAGAACAAAGTGACAGAAATATAATTTTTTTGGTCGGTAGATGAATTTTTTGTTGGTAAACCAATTTTCTTATCAGTCATCAGGTCTCGAATTTTCGTGGATTGTTTTTTTTTGTAAATTTTCTATGCGTATAGGAAAACCAACAAATAAATATAAGCACCAACAGAAAATTAGCAATTTTCCTGTATCTACTATTTATACTCTGTTGGTACGCAAGGAACACATAAAAATTTATCTTTTGTTCTGTCTGTTTTTTGATTTTTCTATCGGTAATCAGCCACCCACAGGGAAATTTGTATTTTTCTGTCGGTGGAGGTCATACCAACAGGAGAATTCATTTTCAACTAGTATATATACAACAGGAGAATTCATTTTCAACTAGTATATATACATGTATTTTACGTGGAAACACCATATACTGGATAAAAGAAGAGCACTTTTATCGTTGTCAGAGCAGGCAAAAAGGATACCCGATGTAGGCGAACAAAGGACAAGATAACCCGACGAACGAAACTCAGCCTGATATTGTTCTTGGGACGACGACAAGCATGATCAATTAGATTGTAATAAAATAGTAATAAAGCACGATATCTTTTGATATGCCATTATGCCCCCGCCAATGACGGGATCGTTCATTAATATTAACAAGGGGAAATTCTCGTGGCCTGGATGTGTGGTGCGCGACCTGCTGCCTACTCGTTAAACATCCCCGTGAATTAATTTGTTTCTCGATATGGACGCATATTATTATATTTTATTATTTGTCCGGCGTCCATCTCAAAACACCCATGCAAATTCAAAGTGTTTTTGTCTTGTTGATGGTGCGAAAGCAACTTAATGTTCTTTTCTGGTGACTTTTCTTTGTCTGTTTACGATAGTGACGTACGTACGTACCACATTGGCATATTATTGTCGCACCTAGAGCAATCAAGCATGGGACGGAACAAATAGGTGCAGCTCTGCATCTTTTCATTTCGTAAAGCAAAATAGTTGAATTGGAATGAAAAAATGAAGCAATACAAAACCAGATAAATTAAATAGAGTTAAATGCATGGGTGGTCCATCAACTTGCGTCCTAATTTCGCTTACGTCCATCAACTCTGAAAGTGGGTTTTTGGGTCTATAATCTTTGTTAGTGGCACATTCCTAACCCATACCATTTTGTTTTATTTTTTTAACCGTGGTTGTCCATCGGGGCGTCCAGGTTGGATTTGGCCAGAGTTTTAGCGCCAGAATGGTTCAGGGGTTTTACCACTAAAGGTGAGGCCATAGGCGGAGACGACGCAGGTCTGGATGACGGTGTTCTCCTGTCGCGTAAAGGGCTGCTTCAGCAAGCCCATGCTCTCGATTGCTTTCGTCCAGAGGCGGACGAGGAAGAAGCCGAGAAGGCTAGCGGAGACGTTGAGCGAGGGGATGACGCCGGTGGTGAGATTCAGCTTCATTACCATGACGCTGAACAAGATGGCGAGGATGAACCCCACCACGAAGGCGCGCACCGTCAGCTGCTCCCGCCACGACGGCACGGGCTTGTCCGCGAACTCCTGCTCCACCGAGGCCACCACCACCTCCTCGGCATTGCCGCCCCCGTCGTCGTCGTCGTCCGCGCCCGCAAGCCCGCCGGCGTGGCGTCGCCGCAGCAGGCTGGCGCCTGACTCCAAGGCGTCGGCTCCCGCGTGGGCGGCAGGGTCGCCGGAAGCGCTGGCGGCGGCGGTGCCAGTCGCCATGGTGGTTGTCTAATGGTTCGTGATGGCTCGGTTGATGCTTGGTAATCGGCGTATTTATTGGAAGGCAGTTGGAATCCAGTTGCGTCACGATCAGGCTCCGGGATTCTGGTGGGCACTGGGCTGGCGCTGGTAACATGCAGTTGGTACCATAATGCTGACGCGTATACGACTAGTGTACTTACTCATGTACGGCAAAAGCAGATCGTGACGAAACAACATTTACCCGTCCCGGTACATTTTACAGCATGGTGCATCAACACAATATACACTTGTGATTCATGCTGACTGCTGACAGATCGTAATTTTCACAGCTTAATTTCCGAGGAAGCCGTCCACTTGGGCGTTCACCGACCTGGACAGGAACTTCATGCGGATCGGCGGCTTCACCTTGGCGAGCGCAAGAATGGACTGTGGTAGGGTCCAGATGCCATCGCCGCAGATCAGCCCTGACGCAACCGCAGGTCCGAAGGCGTCGGCTTTGGCCCTGTTGATCATCTGCCACGCGAAGAGGATCACGGTGCCGACGAACATGTCGATGCCGAAGTAGGACCCGACGTAGAACGGGATCGCCATGGCCATCGGCAGCGGGATGAACCTGGCGACCTTCTTCGGCACCAGGTCCCTGATCAGGTTCACGACGATGGCCGCCGCGAAGAAGATGTAGCAGAGGGTGAGGCAGTTCTTGGGGAGCGACGAGAAGCCGTCCACGCCGAGGATGGCCATGTTCCGGTACACGATGGCGTACGGCGCCGGGTACTCGCTGCTGCTGATGCCGATGTCGGTGAAGGCCTTGTAGAAGAACCAGAAGACGCAGGGCGCGATGACGCAGCCCATCGCCGTGCCGATCACCTGGCTGATGAACATCGACCTGGGCGACGCCAGCGTCAGGTACCCGGTCTTGAAGTCCTGCATCAGGTCGGCGGTCGTCGACACGATGCTTATCATCACGCCGCATGCGGCCAGCCCCACGAGGACGCCGCCGTTGGACGCGCCAGCCCACGCGCCGAAGATGAAGATGGCTGCCTGCAATTTTACCCAATGCCCTCCACTCTCACGTGACGAGCAGATGCTTATTGATCCGACCTGGACGCCACGATGGATAGCCACATCGGTTAAAAAACTGAAACAAAGAGGTATGGGCTAGGAATACACCACTAACGAAGATTATGGATCCAAAAACCCACTTTCAGAGTTGATGGACCTAAGTGAAACTAGAGTGCAAGTTGATGGACCACTGATGCATTTAAGTCAATTAAATAAGAAAGCATGTGAATCATCCTAACGACAAGCATAAGAAATAAAAAGCCTCCTCGCGACAGATCGAGAGCGATAAGCTCTCTCCTCGTAGACCGCCGCCACGACCTCCTATTGCCGAAGCCCAAGGCTGGTCTGCACCATCATCGGTGTGGCAGTCTTGCCGATGATGATGAGGGGTGGGGATATGATCCGGCCTCTTTCATCCAGTATAGTCACATTAGTTAGATTTTATATTGAATAAAATGTTACCGGATTGCACCGTCTTCGCTGATTGCTTGCTGGATCTTGTTTCTTGTAGAAAATTCTGGTGCAAAAATCTAGGCATTTAACCCGGCATTCTTCACGTCGTTTTTGTTTTTGCAGGGTTGATGCGACTAGCGAAGATGTTGTTTCTCATTTGCATCTTTGTGTCACCAGTTTGCTTTACTGGATTCCGATCCCACGATGGCCAAGAAGTTATGTGGACTTCTAGCTTCAATATAGCTGGTACTAGGGTGCCGCACTGATAGTCCCGTAATCATCATCGACAACAAGGTGGACAATACTCTTTCAGTTGGGGATCGTCTACCTGGATGGAAAGGAAAACTGCTATCTACCGCAGGAAGGGAAACTTTGGTAAAAACGGTCTTGTCATCTCAACCAATATACCATTTAACGGTCTTCCCGGCACAGAAGTGGCTCATCAAAAGGATTGACCAGCTACGGAGGAGCTTCCTATGGCGAGGAGAGACGCCGGACAAAGTTTATGGTGGGCACTCATTAATAAACTGGCCAACAACCAATATTGGCCATCGTGAAACTAGAAGTCTCTAAATATGGTGGGCTTGGTATCTCTGATCAGAAGTGGCTCAACTTGGATGAAACAACCAATATGGTGGGCTTGGTATCTCTGATCTTGATTGTTTTGCCCGGGCATTGAGACTAAGATGGATGTGATACTAGTGGAAAGAAAAGGACAGGGGCTGGACAAGCTTTGACGTTCCTTGTGATCAGAAAGATCGGGACCTTTTCAATGCCTCAACCCTGGTGACTCTGGGAGATGGAAAAACTGCTAGTTTCTGACAATCCTCATGGTTACAAGGAACGACACTGAAGAATATTGCCCCAGCACTATATATGAAGACCAAAAGACGAAACGTAAAGGTCAACAAAGCTGTGGAAGAAAACAAATGGGTAGATCATGTTACACCTATAACAACCTATCAGGAGTTGGTTGAATTTGTTGCTCTGTGGGAAGCCATTAGGGGAATCAGTTTGGACAGTTCCAGGGAGGACACAATTCGATGGCGATGGACCGAAGATGGAGAATATACAATAAAAAGTGCTTACCGTATATGGAAGGCAAAAGCTGAACCTAAATGTAGATTCTTTGCTTGGACACTACTCCACAAAAAGATCCTAACAGCTGACAACCTAAGTAAAAGAAACTGGCAGCATGATCCAATCAGCAAGCTATGCGGCATTGAGCACGAAACTCCAACTCATATATGGAAGGATTGCCCATTCACTAAGGAAGTTTGAGAAAACACAGGCGTCTCCGGATCTTTATACAAATTCTGGCGCAAATGCAGGATGAAGATTGAGAAAACACAGAGAAGAAAATTTGATGGGATCATGATATATACTTCTGGTGGAATATGTGGAAAGAAAGGAATAGAAGAACCTTCCAGCAACAAAGCCTACAACCAAGACAAGTGACGCTTCTTTGCAAAGATGACATTCAGCAACAGCAGTTGGCGTTTGTTAGTCCAGAGAGGGTTCAGTAGGCTTGAGGTGTCTGTTTCCTGGCTTCTTAGTTAAGCTTTGGTTTGGTACTCAGGTGTTTTCTCTTGGTTGTTGTTTTCTTTTCCTGTACCTGTTGTGGGTGGGCGCCCTGGTTTCTGGTTTTTTCAGTGGTTGGGGCTCTTGTAGTGGTAGTTGTTTGTTTCTTGTTCTTGGCCAAACCAGCAGGTCAGTTTCATGTAGATTGTTTGTAAACCTTTTTTTTTCTTCTTCGTCTAATAAAATTACCGGCAAAGCTTTTGCCGTCCTTTCAAAAAAAAAAACTCTTTCAATGTGTTAGATTCGTCAAGTGAACTAATCGTGATGTTGGATCATGAGGCATTTCAAAGGATTAGGGCTTATTGTTGTGGGTGAATGGAGAATAATGCTTCGAGGGTTTGGTTATTAGCGTCACTGAGTTCTGACATATCAGAACTTTGCAATGGTCAACGACATGGATTGGGTGTAAAGAATGTCATTATTAGGGTCTCTAGATTTACTCTAGTGTATCATTCTTATTATCCACAGACTTAAATGTAAATAGAGATGTAATACAAAAATATATTTAGCCTCTTTATATATATATATATATATATATATATATAGGGTAAGGCTATTCAGCAGCTGGCCATAAAATAACTTATTATATAGCCACCTTGATTTACCATAATGTTTATACCAATTTATGACGATACTTGTGTTACTATAACTCACGGTGATATTTACCATAATGTTATAGTAACTCTTAGTAGGGAGTTACTATAATATGATAAATTAACATAGTAATTATCATAACTCAAAGTGGTCATAGAATAAGTTATTTTATGGCCAGCTGCAGAACAGTAGTTCTATATATATATATATATATATATATATATATATATATACACTCTTATAGCAGTGAAGAATGGCAGCAATGTGGACTTGAATGGACCTCAACAACCAAAAACTTTATTCTGCTCCATATCTACGGCACATTCCCAACGGCCGTTGTCCATGATGTATTAGAATCTAGCTATATATTTACAGCCCCTGTTTAGAAGAGTTGGTGGCTTTTCCAGCTTTCTGGAGAAGCAAAACTGCCAAAACCGCCCAAAACATGGCCTTAAGCTGGCGAGTGATTTTGACCAGCATACGTACTGCCGCTTATATAAAAAAGACGCACCCAGTCCATGCACTGAAACGCAATAAGCAAAAAGCCTAAAACTATTCAGCAGGCTTCCGCAAATGGCAGCCGCAGTATATTATATATGTCAAGTGGAGGCAAATAATCGTGCCCTAGCACCACCTTCCACTGGTTAATTATTAACGGTGGTGGAGCAGTGCCTTTCCGGATTAGGCTAGCTCTTAATTGTTTAAATCACCATTCGGCTCGCCACTGACATCAATAGATTCGGCGAAATCTTAATCAGGCAGTAAACAATAATTCCGATCCTTGTCCCCTACCGCGCGCTTCGCTCCAAAGGCTCCGAGAGATCAGCAGCTAAGCGACCGCCGACGGCGATGGCCGCCTATATCTTATTAGTATAACCCTTTCCCGTCGTAATCAATTATCTAATCACTTACCTAAGCCGGATTAAGATGTTAGTAATATAGCTAATACAAAAGCCCATTCTCTTCCGCACGGTCTGTTCCATCTCATCAGATTACATAGTTTATTCGGCCGCTAGTTCACTACCGCAAACTGTCACTTTGCCGAGTGCTGGAGGCTTTGCCGAGTGTATTTTATCAGGGTCTTTGCCGAGTATCAAATAAAATACACTCAGCAAAACAAAAACACTCGGCAAAATGTGTCTTTGCCGAGTGCCTTTTTTCTGGTACTCGGCAAAGATGTATTTTGCCGAGTGCTATTTTTCGGCACACGGCAAAATGCGCCTTTGCCGAGTGCCTTTTTCTGACACTCGGCAAAGATGTATTTTGCCGAGAGCTATTTTTCGCCACACGGTAAAATGTGTCTTTGCTAAGTGTCTTTTTTCGGCACTCGGCAAAGATGTATTTTGCCGAGTGCCTTTGTCTTGGCACTCGACAAAGAGGCATTTTGTCGTGTGTATTTTTTTTTTGGCCTTGAGCAAATCAGATTTTCAAAGTAATTTTTGAGGCCCTAAATGAATTCAAATGAAAAAAATTTCAACTACAAAGTTGTATAACTTCTCAAGATCTACAAAGTTTATTTTGTTCATTTCTTCATTTGACAAAGCGACAATAACGTTGTTCATAAAATCTATCTCTCTTATATTAGTTTCATGAAAGTAGAAGAGAGATATATAAGATTTGTGAACAATGTTACTACCACTATGTCGGATGAACAAATGACCAAAATAAACTTTGTAGATCTTGAGAAGTTATGAAATTTTGTAGTTGGCAACATTTTGATTTGAAATCATCTTGTCATGCAAAAACGACGTTTGAATTTGAAAATTTGAAAATTTGAATTTTTTAAAAGACCTCGGATGGGAAAACTTCATAAATGAAAATTGTAGATCTCCAAAAGTTATGAAACTATATAGTGGACAACTTTTTGATTTGAAATCATCTTATCATGCAAAACTACAATTGAATCTCTCAAATTTGAAATTCGAATTTTTCAAACGACCTCGGATGGAAAAACTTCCTAAATGAAAATTGTAGATCTCGAAAAGTTATGAAACATTGTAGTTGACCACTTTTTGATTTGAATTCGTTTAGGGCCATAAACAAGTAATTTACTCTCAGTTTAGTATAATATATGAGGATAGATAACGGAATCTAGACACAAGTGATAGTGTAGTGCAGTGGTAGAGCAGCAGACACGCGAGGGAGAGGTCATGAGTTCGAATCCCGCCGGTCGCGTTAGCCGCGAATTTAGCGCAAAAAAATGCACCGACTTCGATGAAGACGGGCGGGCACTGGCCGGTGGCGGCCTCCCCCGATTTTTTTTTTAAAATTTG